AACAACGGTAAGTATTTCTCTCAGTTATGAAACCAAGGTTTATCAATCCTGTAGGAGAACCAAGCAACACTATGTAAACAACACCTGCATACAAACAACAAAAACTTGCAACCCAACGTGTAAGAGGGGTTGTCAATCCCGCAACGGTATTGAGATAGATTAAATTGCATAAGTTTTGATAAATAGATCTAACAAAAACACAAAATAAAATAAATAAATAAAAATTGCATCAAGGTATTTTGGATTTAATATATGATAGGAAATAGACCCGGGGCCATAGTTTTCACTAGAGGATTCTCTCAAAAAAATAGCATACGGTGGGTAAACACATTACTGTTGGGCGTGCGGCCGTTTTCCAGCCCGAATGCTATTTCTCGCATTAAGTGAGACCGTAGGAAGCCGGATTGCGAGCTTCAACAGTAATGAATCGGCCCACTCGCGCATTTTGAAAAAAGGAGAGGCACAGGGGGGTGATTCGAACTGTGGTTTCCACGATAGAATACGGCGGTGCTAGCCATCGGGCTAGCGCAAGGATTCTGTTCAAGTATTAGGGCGGGTTGTAATTGTGGCGAAATGAGCCCAGGTACTAGAGTTTTTTTCTTCCGAGATTTCTATTTCCTTTTTTCTTCTCTTTTTGTTTTTATTCTTTTTTCATTTGTTTCTTTGATTTTATTTTTCATTTTCTTTGTTTTGTATCTTTTTGGGGTTACAATTTTTGGGTTTTTTTGTTTCTTTTGTTTTTCATTCTACATTTTTTATATGTCAAAAACATTTTTATACAAGATTAACATTTTTTGTATACATGATCAATATTTTTCCTATACACACCAAAGTTTTTCAAATGGTTGATTAACATTTTTCAAATACATAGTTAACATTTTTTTTTCATATATGGTCAACATTTTTCTATTACAAGGTCATCATTTTTTTAATGAACATTTAGCATTTTTTTTAAATGGTTTATCAACACTTTCCAAATGCAAGATTAACGTTTATTTGAATGCATTGTCAGAATTTTTTCTATACACATTTAACATTTTCCAAATGCAATATTGAAATACTTGTTCAATATTTGTTTAAATGCTTGATTCAGATTTTCATAGACATGATCAAAATATTTTATTATTTTTTAATACATGGTCAACATTTTGTATATGTACATTCACCATTTTGCAAACGCTTCATTAACATTTTTCAAATATTTGTTTAACCTATTTTAAATACATGATAAGGTTTTTTCACAACCATTTTCAAAAATAATAATAATAAAATAGAAATTGTGAACAAATTTTGAAATATTAAAATATTTTTCAATTGCCAGATCAAATTTAGAATTTCACACAGTTTCTAATTTTTTTTAGAATTTCATAGATTTTGAAAATTTCTGAACATTGTTAGTAAAAGAACAAAATTTATTTTACATTTGCACATTGTTTGAAAATGTCTGAACAGAAATTTAGAAACACGTGGACATTTTCTGAAATTTGGAACAAAATGTTAAAAACGTGAACATTTTTCTTAAGTTGTGAACAAAAATTTGAAAACGAGAACTTTTTTGAAATTCCTGGACATATTTTGAAACACAAAATATTTAATGAAAATTGTGAACAAATTTTGAAGAGGTGAACATTTTTGAAATCCATGTTTTTTTTTGAAACATGAACATATTATGAAATCATGAACAAATATGGAAACACAAATTCTTTTATGAAATCATGATTTTCTTAGAAAATAATAATATTTAATTAAATCCCTGCACATTTTTTAATATCCTGAACAAATGTTGAAAACACAAACATTATTGAAATTCCTAAACATTTTTTGAAACATGAACATTTTTCGTTGTGAACAAAAATTTGAAAACAAGAAATCTTTTCAAATTCCTGGACATTTTTTGAAGCACAAAACATTTAATGAATATTGTGAACATATTTTGGAGACGAGAACATTTTTTGAAATCCCTGAACTTTTTTTGAAGCATGAACATATTATGAAATCATCAACAAATATGGAAACACAAATTCTTTTATGAAATCATGATTTTTATTAGATAATAATAATATTTAATGAAATCCCTGAACATTTTTTAACATCCTGAAAAAATGTTGAAAACGCGAACAGTTTTGAAATTCACAACCTTTGTTTGAAACATGAACATTTTTCGTTGTGAACAAAAATTTGAAAATGAGACCATTTTTCAAATTCCTGGACATTTTTTGAAGCACAAAAAATCTATTGAAAATTTTGAACATATTTTGAAGACGAGAACATTTTTTGAAATCCCTGAACGTTTTTTTGAAACATGAATATATTGTGAAATCATAAACAAATATGGAAACACAAATTCTTTTATGAAATCCTGATTATTTATTAGAAAATAACAATATTTAATGAAATCCCTGAACATTGTTTAATATCCTGAACAAATGTTGAAAACGTGAACATTTTTTAAATTCATAAACATTTTTTAAAACATGATCATTTTTTGAAATCCCTGAACAAATATGGAAAACACAAATTATTTTATGAAATCATGAATTTGTTTAAATAATAATAATAATATACTATGAAATATATGAACATTTTTAAATCCTGAGCAAAATTTCAAAATTAGAACATATTTTGAGACTCAAACATTTTATTAAATTATAAGCACATTTTAAACGCAAGACCATTTTTTTGCAGTTCCTGAATATTTTATGAAACAGGAACGTTTAAAAAAAATGTGAACATAATTTTGAACACGATAACATTTTTTGAAATTCAGATTTTTTTTGGATTGAAACAAAAGCAACAGAAAAAGGAAAGCAATAAAATAAAAAGGAAAAGGAAAAAAATAGAAAGAATAAAAGAAACCAAAAGAAGAAACAGGAACAAAAAAAAGAGACTAAAAGAATAGGGAAAAAGCAACGCCTATGCAGGAACCTTCTGGAAAGTTCCCACACTCTAGAAGATTCGCGAGACTGAAAGCTTCTACGTACTACGGGCCGGGGCAATCGCTCGCTCGGTCGCCTCTCTGTGCGTTTGCTCGACAGTTTGACGCAACATGCGCCAAATAGGAATTTCCATAGTCTTGCCCGACTCGACAGTTTGAGGCAACGTGCGCCAAATAGGAATTTCCATAGTCTTGCCCGATTCCCCGAAATCACTAGTTAAGGAGTACTCCTTGCGGAAATCACTCCAACTTCCTCAGGTTGCGACGAGTGGCGCGCTGCATGTGCGCCACTTGTCGCAACATGGAAGTTTTCCCTTTTTTCGTAGATCCATTTATTCAAAATGTTTTATCTCTTAAACCGTGCTTCCAAATCTCGAACCGCTTTCGCCGTTGGATTTCCCGCGTCGAGATCTTCAAAACTAGATCCCATGTTGATAGGTTTTGACGAACTTTTTTTTCACAAAAAAACCGGACGATAAAACCGAACCGGGAGCACGTGTTTTTCCCTTTCCGAAAGTGGCACGCCCGTGCCTCTGACGAAATCACAACCGTACCTCTCGCGGAAGAAAAACCGTGCCTCTCGCAAAAGAAAAAAAAACAGAAAACACGTTTTTTTTTCATTTCCGAGGAGGCACGGCCGTGACTCTCGCGAAAACAAAACCGTGCCTCTCGCGAAAGAAAAAAAAAACAGAAAACGTGTTTTTTTCGTTTCCAAGAGGCACGGCCGTGACTCCAGCGAAAGCACAACCGTGCCTCTCGCGAAAGAAAAAAACAAAAAACGCGTTTTTTTCCGTTTCCAAGAGACACGGCCGTGCCTCTCGCGAAAGCACAACCGTGCCTCTCGCGAAACAAAACCGTGGCTCTCGCGAAAAAATGTGTTTTTTTGGGCATTTTTTTGGTTGAAAAGCTAAGGAAGACCGGTGAAAAACCAAAACGTAAAAAAATCCGAAAAAAAACCGTTTAAAAAACCAAAAACACGTGCGTAAAAATAAAAAAATAAAATCCGAAGGGAGCGCCCAGAACGCGATACGTGGCGAATGGCTGAGAGTGCGTCAAGTAGCGCTGATCGTTGCGAGGCTCTCGAAGGAGCGCTCGTTAATTAGTTGCTCTCGCGATTCCCGGCGGGGTTCACGGAAGGAGCTCCCTGTACCGGAGCCCTCTCAAAACGGATGCAGAACCGACAAGAGCGTACATGGGCCGGCCCATGTAGCGCAGGGTCCGTCCGATTGGTGGTGTTCCTCATCAATCAATCAAAAAGAAAAGAAAAGAAAAAAAGATTGGTCGGTCGACATCCAACAAGTCGAATCCGCCAACAAGTCGATCCTTCAAGAACCCTAACTCTAAAAAGAAAAAAGATGCACCCACCCAAAATCCCCCCTCTCCAAATCCAATCCTTCGATCTCGCCGTACCAATTCTTCTCCCATCTAACCCTAACTGTTCAAGGCGATGCCCCTTCCCCGGGACGCGGAGGCGGAGGCCAGGCGGAGGCGGAGGCGGAAGCGGGATCGCGAGGTGTTTCCGCCGGGGCGCCGGGGCGTGGATAGGGAGCCCGACGGGGAGAGAGGGGAGAGGCCGAATCGTCGGTTCTTGGATGGCAAGCACGACAAGCGCCGCCGCGTTTCAAAGATCAAGAGAGTACCGAACTTCCGCGGCCGTCCCTCCATCGTATCCAAGTTGTTTCCCTCTCCCTCTGCTCTAGTGCAGTACTTCCCCAGCCACTACCTCAGCTCATCCGAGGAGTCCTCGTCCTCTGCCTCCGCCCTGCCGGAGTCTCCCGGCTCCTCTGCCCTACCCAAGTCCTCCAGCTGCGCCCCCAGCTTACCTGAGGAGTCATCTGCCCATGCCCTACCGGACTCCCCCATCTTACCTGAGGAGGAGCCCTCTGCCGCACCCAACTCCCCCAGCTTACCCGAGAAGGAGCCCTCTGACTTACCTGAGAAATCGCCGTTACCTGAGAGGGAGCCCTCCGACTTACCTGAGAAAGCGCCCTTACCTGTGGAGGAGCCCCCTGACTTACCTGACAAAGAGACAGGCTCCAGCTCTGATGGAGGAATCTGTGATGAGATGGCAGAAAGATTCCAGCAAATTATGGAGGATTATGCTACTAATTATGACCTCTATGCTCAACAAAGTACGTGACATTATACTCAGTCATGTTGTAGTTCAAGCATATGTTGTTTTATAGCTATCTATATCTAGACATCTAGACATAATAAGCCCTGTTGTTTGTACATCTATGCATGCCTTACCGCTTACAGATCTTAAATGCTTCGCACTAATCATGACTTGATTGTGTTTGATAGAAGGTAAGGCACTTCTCAACGACAAATTGTTGGCACCTCCATTGCTTATTTGAGAAGAACACAAGCACAAAAATTTGAGAGAAGTGAGGGCAATTGTGCACATCCTCATGCAGACTTGTTTGAATTATTCTTCCAATGCCTAGTTACCTGACATAATTCAAAAAAAAAAACTTCACTAAATACTTTGACTGCCAAACGTCCCTTGGTTTTGCTAATGCTCTGAAATACTGTAGCATGCATATATTGTAGTATTTTGTGCCATCAGGTTCTAATACTATCGTTTGTTGTAGTTCGAGGAGAACCAGAGGAATGTAACCTTACGGTGGAGAGTGAGTTCTGTGACATTGATGATGGCAGTTCCCGTGGTTGGAAAGCTCGGAAAGTGGCTTTGCGAGCTTCAGAGTCAGTTGTTAGTCTTTCTTCCTTTTCAGGTATTCCTTTTACTTCTACTAGTTAGCATTATTCTCATGGTGCGTGATCTCATCATGTTTGATATAAATCATCGTTGATCTGCCTCTGCATCAGATTACTATAATGGCTACTGGGTTCAGACCCAAAAGTACAATAAGCAAATGAATTGCAGGTTAGGTATCCAGGGTTATGTGATTATAGCCTAGAGAATCTCTGTGACCCAGGAAACAGAACATATGACATGAAACATTGCGACCCATCCAAGAGGATAACATGCATCCATAAACTTGTATGACAGAAGTATGTTAAATTGTATGAACCATTGATTATATAGCTAAGAACTTTGCTGTAGAAATTTCTTTCATGTAACATGTGAAGATAAGTGGCAACAGAGGATTTGACAAACATTGCAGTTGAAAGAGCATGACCATCAGCGAGCCAAAGCTTGCTTCATCAAAATATATGCTGAATCTACACTTGGCAGTGCCAAAGAGGCTGACTGCTCTTCCAGGAATTCAGACTTGCTGAGCAAATTTAGATTTATGAGTTTCTGCACTAAGGTCGGTTCACCTTGATATACTCTGGATTCTCCTTGACTGTCTAAATGTTCTAACAAAGTATGGAAACTTTGAAAATTGGGGACACATTAATTCCCATGGCTTAGAACACTTGATGCATATGAAAGCACCAGGTCTGAAGGTACTTGAAATGAACATGGGTATTTGTTACCGTTAGTAGAATACAGAACAGATGATGTCCTTTTCTTTGGCCTTCCTTGATGAGTGGGTTTTGTATTCTCCTGTCGATCTTGTTCACCAGCCATCTTGTTATTTACTCATGCTGCAAAGAAATAAATACACAGTGAAGATCAACGGTAGGCATGTGAACAAAGTACATAATCTCTAACTTTACTAGCATAACACATATTCGTAAGAAAACACGGAGATAAAGTACAATTTTTTGCGACCAGTTTAAAAGGTACCGATACCAAACAAAAATGACATTAATGTCAAAACATGCGCGCCGACCACAGTAAATCACCTCTCTCAAGTTTTGCTTTTTTGTTCTATCCTTTGTTCAAGGTTTTGCCATTGTTCTATTTTTTGTTACTTTTAGCAGGAGGGAGAGAGATTACATGTGATGAACTGGATTGATGTTTTTTTTTAACAATGTTGACTCGAATTTATCTGATTTTCAGATGAAAAGAGGATAAGAGTGGGCTCGGGATTCATGGTAGGGTTTAATCGTCATACCAATACCAGCAATATCTTAACTTCAGCAACGCTGGTTAGGTCTCTTTGTGGGCAGAACATTGTGATTCCAGATTTAAAGGTGCGTGCTACATATTTCCTCGTGAGTCTACTTAATATATGGAATTTTTTTTCTGACCTGAAATTTTGTTGTATCAATTAGGTTAAGGTGTGTCTCCCGAATGGGCATATATCCGAGGGCTTGTTATCCATTGTTGATTTTCACTATAACATAGCTATTGTTGAAGTGAAATCTGATGAGGAACTGCCACGGCCTATTCTTCTGTGTAATGTCATCAAAAGAGGAGCAGTGTTAGCAATTGGACGATTTTATGATCATGGTGGAGTGATGTGTGCACAAGGAAAAATCAGAAAAGAAACCAGCACCTTTGACTGCTCAGAGCTTTTAGTATCGAGCTGCCACACGACCATGGTATGATTATATGATTTGCATTATTGAACTGAGCAATCTTTGAGTATGTATCTGCCACTTGACCATGTTAATTAATATATGCTTCACATCATTAAATGACCAATCTTTTAGTATCTATCTGCTGCATCTATATATGGTTCATCTCATTAAAATGAGCAATCGTTTAGTACCAAGCTCCCAAACGACCATTGTAAATAACATGTGGTTTAAATCATTAAAATGAAATGTTTTAGTGTGAAATAGTTGATGCATCATGACATGATAATTCTTCTGCTCATGGAGTTTGATGTGAGAAGAGGAAGAAAGATGGTACATGCTGATGCTTTGTTCCTTTATTTACTATATGTTAACTAAGTATACAAAATTGTCAGCTTGGATGTGTGATGGTCGCTGGTTTGTTTCCTTCTTTACCTTTTCATTGTAAGTTACAATTGAACACACTGATAAGTAGGCAGTGAAACTGATCAAATCTTAGTACCTATCTAAATGTACTAAAATTTTGATCATTGATTCAGTTGTTTGGAAGCAATCTTGTGATTCGGAAAGTGTTGAAACTAAGTTGTCCATATCCAGGTCCCAACTCCCTAAACCCACACAACCCATATCCAGGTCCAACTCCCTAAACCCACACAACCCATATCCAGGTCCAACTCCCTAAACCCACACAACCCATATCCAGGTCCAACTCCCTAAACCCACACAACCCACTCCAAAGCATAGATAACATACCTTAAATTGCCCCTCCCCTCTCAACATATCTTGTTTTATGTTGAGTAGCGGGAGAGAGACCAGTGCATTCCCCTCTTATCTGCTTGCTGGCATGTGGCTCCCCTAGATCATAGCATGTTGACGAATGCTTAGATTAGCATACTGTTTGGTTGGCTTAGGACATTTTTAGCAATTTGTGTAGCAAAAATTACCTTTGTCATTTACTAGTCTACTTAGTTACAACTACATTTATGCACACTACACACTTGACAGTTCGTCCAAGCTAGGTTTTGAGGTCTTGATACCTAAATGAATTGAATTATGCATTGTGAAGGGGAGCTTGCAAGTCTTAAGTTGACAGCAAAATGTTTTATGCCATTATCTCTTTACATAAACACAATTGACAATGTCACTTGGATTTTTCATTTGTCTGAGCTCAACTATTTTGCCTGTGTTTGGTGCATTTTTCAAAGCTGTCCTGTTTGTGCTTGAAGGCTATTTGATTACCTGTTCATAATTATTTGTTCCTTTTGCTTAGGCGGGTGTTGGAGGGCCCCTTGTAGATTATAGTGGTCATGTCGTGGGTATCAATTTCTACGGAGAGAAACACACCCCTTTTCTTTCATCAGCGATTATTATAAGATGCTTGGATCATTGGGCGTCCTGGGGGTATGTCCAATCATATTGACTACACTATTATGCACTTCTTTTGTTTTTGATCTTCAAATACAACACAATATAACATGATTTAAACCTTTGCATTTGATTGATAAGGCTATTTTGATTTGTAGACAAGTTAACCGACCATGGCTTGGATGCATCTGCACATCTGTTGATATGTTGCCACTTCGTGTTTTGGAGAAATGCACCTATCTTAACGAGGGTTTGTATATTTCAGATGTATGGAACTTTCCTTTCCTATTGTTTGTTACTTACTTTCCTATGCTATATTATCTATTGTGGACTTCACTAGTACATGTATTTTTTTATGCGTGTTATAGCAGGATGGTCCTTCATGTTTTTTCTTAAAAAAGTGTAACCTTTCGTAGTGGAGAAAACAAATACCAATGTAGGCTTTTTTGTACATTTTCATATCATGTTTGCGTGATGTAGTCAATGAGTGTTTCTTGAATGTAGGGAGCTCAACTAATGCTTGACTGTGGCTATGTGCCTAATTATAATTTTCATAGTACTATTATCCGGATTACAAATTTTCTGAGTGCTGGTAGTGGTATTCATGTATTTACAAGGTGTATTTCTTAATTTGACAATTAGGTTGTTAAGGGATCACCATTTGATGTTGCTGGGCTATCAGCTGGTGATGTTTTGATTGAATGTGCTGGAGAAGTACTTAGTACTGCTGCCCAGGTGATTACATTTTGACAGTACTTACTATTCTTCATACTATTGATTTTGGTTGTCTTATAAATTGGAAAAGTTAACAACATTATTTGCATCATCCAATGATAGTTAGGTGCACTGCTACTTGATCTGTGCCACAAATATCTGAGGGGTTATGTTGAGAGCAAGATGACCGTGGAGGTATTCATCTCAGGCTTCCTGTAATTATGATTGCTGTTGTATGTTTTAATCATCCTTTTATTGGACATTTTCACTAGGTTGTTGTCTGGAAGCAAAAGGATGGCAGGAAATCAAGGAAGATAGTGAAAACCAATTTATTAAGCCACTGCAACTTTTACAGGTGTCGTAATTTCTCACGTCTTGTAGCAGTAAATTTTGCTGGAGTAACTTTGTTCTCATCGTTGTTCTTTCGTTGCCTTTTAGATGGCTTGATCCATTGCCCAGGTACAACGATAAGAAGATGGTGATGGCAAGGGACGTTATGGAGCTTTATTATAAAGGTACAGTGTTATGCTAACATATTCTTTGCGCGCATAGTTTCTCCCTTTGTGCTCTTGATTAATAAAACTTGAAACTTACTTTCCCAATCTGCTTATTTCATGTTCTTAAATATGTTTGTTTGCTGATGCTGCTTACGAAGCTAATTTACGCCAAGCATACAAGCTGTCTTCACTTCCCAAACAACTTTTCTCACTTTCTCCATTTGGGCCTTCACCCCAACAACACTTTTTTTACGAAGTTATTTTACTAACTCCGGGGAAACTTATATTTGGAAGTACATTAACTTCAAAGAGTAAGTGGCAACCCTCCCTCCCCTTGGGTTTCACCAACACCATGGCTTGTCGTTGCTGCCCTTCCCCGGCTAGGAGTATGTATATGCGTTGGATTTACCTGAGTGGATCAAGAGGTCCCTCAAGGTCATCGCTGTGTTGGTGGCCGCCCGCACCTCCCGCCTCAAGAATGAGGCCCCTCGCATGCGCCATGAGCTAGCCGATAAGGACCGCCTCGGAGCACGCATGACATCTGAGCAAGCACGGGAGCTCCTTATGTCCACCGGGAAAAACAGTGCGTAGCTGGCGGGGACTTAAGTACGGGGAAGACGGTGCGCAGTCGGCGTTGTGGTTGTCAGCAGCTGCATTAGGAGGTCGGCGAGCACATCAGATGGAGCAGCGGCAGCGCCAGTTCCAGTCCAAGCAGGCGTCGTCGTCGCGTCGATGACGACGTCCTTGCCCAAGGAGCAAGATTCACAATGAAGCCGTGAGAGTGATGTTGCTCGTGGCCGCCATGGGGGTCCTGCTGTACGCCTACGTCCACACGCTGGCCCTCGTTACAACCCACACGCTCACCCTCGTTGAACATCGAGCAGTGGTGGGATGCTTCGGCAGGAGGACACCGGCTAGCGCCGACGCGAGCGGCGCGGTAGCTGCTATAGTGTATCTGGCGGCGCCGATGAGACCTTGCCCAAGGGCCAAGATTCACGATGAAGCCGCGGCAGTTACGGTGCTCGTGGCCGTGGGGTCCTGTCGTACGCCCACACAGTTGCCCTTGTTGAGCATTGAGCAGTGGCGGGGTGCTTCGGTAGGAGGACACCGGCTAGCATCGACGCTAGCGGTGCGGTAGCTGCTGTCGTGTATCTGGACTTCACGGTTCATGCTGCCCCTCATGCC